AACTCTATGCAGGCAGGAGTGCATCTTATCAAAACTGTGTTTTTCCCAAGATTTAGCCCAGTGTTCTGCACAGAGGCATTTTTTGTTGATGCCTTGTTTTTTAAAAATTAATTAATTTTTAGTTTTAAACATTTGCTTTTGTAAAATTTTGAGTTCTGGATTTTCCCCCTTCCCTCCACTTCTTACCCCCCAAGACAGCATGAAATCTGATATAGGCTATACGTGTATGATCATATTAAACATATTTCCACATTAGTCATGTCGTGAAAGAAGAATCAGAACAAAAGGGAAAAACTAAGGTAAAGATAAAACAAAAAACAGTAAAAGAAAGAGAAAACAGTATGCTTCAATCTGCATTCAGACTCCATAGTTCTTTTGCTGGATATGAATAGCATTTTCCATCATGATGAGTCTTTTGGAACTGTCTTAGATCATTGCATTGCTCAGAAGAGCCAAGTCTAACAAAGTCAGTCACTGCACAATGTTGCTGTCACTGTGTACAGTGTTCTCCTGGTTTTGCTCAATTCACTTAGCTTCAGTTCATGCAAGTCTTTCCAGGTTTTTCTCAAGTCCTCCTGCTCACCATTTCTTAGGGAACAATAGTATTCCATTACATTCATGTACCACAGCTTGTTCAGCCATTCCCCAATTGGTGGGCATCCCTTCAATTTCTAATTCTTTGCCACCACAAAAAGAGCTGCTATAAATGTTTTTGTACATGTACACCCTTTTTTAATGGCATCTTTAGGATACAGACTTAGTAGTGATATTGCTAGATCAAAGGGTACGCCCAGTTGTGTAGCCCTTTGGGCATAGTTCCAAATTGTTCTCCAGAATGGTTGGATCAGTTCACAACTCCATCAACAATGCGTTAGTGTTCCAATTTTCCCGTCTTCTCTAACATTTATCATTTTCCTGTTTTGTTGTGTTAACCAGTCTGATAAGTGTGAAGTGGTACCTCAGAGTTGTTTTAATTTGAATTTCTCTAATCAGTAGTGATTTAGAGCATTTTTTATATGACTATTGATAGCTTTAATTTCTTCATCTGAAAACTGCTTGTTCATATTCTTTGACCATTTATCTGGGGAATGACTTGTATTCTTATACATTTGACTCAGTTCTCTATATATTTTAGAAATGAGGCCTTTATCACAGACACTGGCTCTAAAAATTGTTTTTCAGCTTTCTGCTTCCCTTTTAATCTTGGTTGCATTGGCTTTGTGCAAAACCTTTTTAATTTAATATAATCAAAATTATCCATTTTGCATTTCATAATGTTCTTTATCTCGTTTGGTCATGAATTCTTCCCTTCTGCATAGATCTGACTGGTGAACTATTCCTTGCTTTCCTAATTTGCTTATAGTTTCACCCTTTATATCTAAATCATGTATCCATTTGGACTTTATCTTGGCATATGGCGTAAGATGTTGATCTGTAACTTGTTTCTGCCATACTGTTTTCTGGTTTTCCCAGCGGTTTTTGTCAAATAGTGAGTTCTTATTCCAGAAGCTGGAATCTTTGGGTTTATCAAACAGTGGATTACTATAGTCATTGACTGCTATATCTTGTGTTCCTAACCTATTCCACTGATCCACCCCTCTATTTCTTAGGCAGTACCAAGTAGTTTTGTTGATTGTTGCTTTATAATACAGTTTTAGATCTAGATTTAGATTCAGGTACAGCTAGGCCATCTTTCCTTGCATTTCTTTGCATTAATTACCTTGATATTTTGGACCTTCCATTCTTCCAGGTGAATTTTGTTATTATTTTTCCATCTCTATAAAATAATTTTTTGGTTTTGTGATTGTTATGGCACTGAATATGTAAATTAGCTTAGGTAGAATTGTCATTTTTATTATATTAGCTCAGCCTACCCATGAGCAACTGATATCTTTCCAGTTATTTAGATCTGACTTTATTTGTGTGATTTATTTCCTCATTGCCTATTCTAATTCCTTCAATTTCAATTTCTTTTTCTTCTCTTATAGCTAAAGCTAACATTTCTAGTACAATATTGAATAACAGTGGTGATAATGGACATCCTTGTTTCACTCCTGATCTTATTGGAAATGTTTTTAGTTTATCCCCATTACATATAATGCTTGCTGATGGTTTTAGATAGATGCTACTTATCATTTAAGGAAAACTCCATTGATTCTCTACTTTCCAGTGTTTTTAATAAGAATGAGTGTTGTATTTTGTCAAAAGCTTTTTCTGCATCTATTGAGATAATCATATGATTTCTGTTAATTTTGTTACTGATATGGTCTATTATGCTGATAGTTTACCTAATATTGAATCAGTCCTGCATTCCTGGTATAAATCCCACCTGGTCGTAGTGTATTATCCTCGTGATAAGTTGTTGTAATCTCTTGGCTAATATTTTATTTAAAATTCATTAGGGAAATTGGTCTATAATTTTCTTTCTCTATTTTGGCTCTTTCCAGTTTAGGTATCAGTTCCATATTTGTACCATAAAAATAATTTGGTAGGATTCCTTCTTCTGTTTTTTCAAATAGTTTATATAGTATTGGAATTAATTGTTCTTTAAATGTTTGGTAAAATCCACTTGTAAATCCATCTGGCCCTGGAGATTTTTTCTTAGGGAGTATTCAGTTTCTTTTTCTGAAATGGGTTTATTTAGGTATTTTATTTCCTCTTCTGTTAATCCAGGCACAATTACATTTTTGTAAATATTCATCCATTTCACTTAGATTGTCAGATTTATTGGCATACAGTTGGGCAAAATAGCTCCTAATGATTGTTTTAATTTCCTCTTCATTGGTGGTAAATTCACCCTTTTCATTTTTGATACTGGTAATTTGGTTTTCTTCTTTCTTTTTTTTTTTTAATTAACCAAAGTTTATCTATTTTTCTTAACATAAAACCAGCTCTTAGTTTTATATATTAGTTCAATAGTTTTCTTAATTTCAATTTTATTAATCTCTCCTTTGATTTTCAGAATTTCTAATTTGGCATTTAATTAGGGCTTTTAAATTTGTTCTTTTTCTGGCTTTTTTAGTGGTATTCCCAATTCATTGATCTCTTCTGTCTTTTTTTTATTCATATAAGCATTTAGAGATACAAAATTTCACCTAAGAACCACTTTAGCTGCATCCCATAAGTTTTGGTATGTCTTCTTATCACTCATTCTCTTGGATGAAGTTATTGATTGTTTCTGTGATTTGTTATTTGACCCACTCATTCTCTAGGAGTAGATTATTTAGTTTCCAATTAATTTTTAGTTTATCTTTCCGTGGCCCTTTATCCGTGTAATTTTTATTGCATCATGATCTGAAAAAGATGATGCCTTATATTTTTACATAACAAGCGTTTCTAAATATACTGTTTACCTCTCCCCTACTCAGTGAGTCTCCCCCAGTAACAAAGATGAAAAAAGAAAAATAGCAGTTCATCAAAACCAACCAACACGTTGACTATGTATGAACAAGCATCTGCCTCTTCCTCATTCACAGTCCCCCATCTCTCCATTGAAGGGAGGAAGGTACTCTTTTTCCCCCCCCTGGGGCAAGCTTGGTTCTTATAATCATGCAACATTTAGTTTTATTTTATTGTTCTTTCCTTTTACATTGTTGTCATTGTGTATATTGTTTCAGTTGTTCACAAACATATCTTTATGGACAGCTAGATGGAACAGTGGATAGGGTGCTTGGCCTGGAGTCAGGAAGACTCATCTCCCTGAGTTAAAATCTGACTTCAGAGACTTAATAGCTATGTGACCCTGGGCAAGTCACTTAACCTTGTTTGCCTCAGTTTTCTCATCTGTAAAATGGGCTGGAGAAGGAAATGGCAAACCACTCCAGTATCCTTGTCAGGAAAACCCCAGGTGGGGTCACGAAGAGTTGGATAAGACTGAACAACGATTGAACAACTAAACATATCTTTATTATGCATGCATCAATTCATATGTCCCATAAACATAATTGTTTTCCAAGTTTTATCTTTCTATGTTTCTCTGAATTCTTCATCTTTTTCATTTCTTTTGGTATAATAATATCCTATTACAGTCATATACTACATTCTGCTTAGCCCTTTCCTATCGCTGGGCAACTACCTATTTTGTTCCCATTTCTTTGCCACCGCCAAACTTACTGTCATGAATATTTTACATATGTGGGACTTTTTTGTTTTTACGTCCCCAAGGGTAGCCTAGCAATGGGAAAAATCTAGATCAAAGGATATGAACGTTTTATGTCACTTTTTAAAAGCTTAATTCCAAATTGCTTTCCAGAGTGATTAGAATAACCCGTAGCTCTACCAATACTATGCTAGTGTGCCCTCATAAAAGGGTTACAGGTTCATAAATTTAGATCAGAGCTAGAAGGGATTGTAAAGGCCATTGAGGCCAACTGGCTATTTTTACAGATGAGGAGATTGGAGTACAGCGAGGCTGATAATGTGACTTGTCCTTGCAAGTAAGTGTATGAGGCAGGATATTTGTATATCACAGGTCTTCTTGATTCGAAGTCCAGTGCCCTGTTCCCTTTGCCATGTTACTTCCCAAGGCGTTCGATATGTGTTTGTTGAAATGAGTTGAAGAAGGAACACAATGAGCAAAAGCCCAGGATGTGTTTGGGAAATGTTTGGTATTTTAATTTTGCAGGAGCGTAGGTCTTAGAAAAGGGAAATAGTGAAAGGTAAAATCAGAAAGCTAGCTTGGGGCTAGAGCAGGGAAGGCCTTGGATGCCAGGGTAAGGAATTTAGAACTTCTTCTGTAGGCACTGAAAAACCATTGGAGGATCACATCTTATTGATGTGTTAAGCTTGTTACTGCTGTGTGATTCCATTGAAATTAAGGATGTGATGGTGAAGTCATTTTAATTGGGAAACCTCTGGCTAGAGTCTAATTAGATCTTGATCATTATTTTTACCCCTCCCTCTTCTCTAGTGCCTCCACCTTCTTTCTATTCTACTTTTTCAGTGTCACTTTGTTTTTTTCTTTCAGAAACAAATAATCAGCTGATTTCTTTACTTTTCAGGCTGGGAAACTGGAACACATAACATCTGATTGGATGGACTGTGCCCTGTTGTGGAGAGGAAGACCAGAGATGGAGTCATAATCTTAGGATTGGTTTTTCTCCCTGAGAGTTCCAAACATTCTGCTTCACTGTGATACAACCATAGCAAAGGTGTGATGGACAGACCATTCCTATTTACCTTGCGCCCTTTTTTCCTCCATGTGGAAAGTGGAAAGCAAGGCAACAGAGACCAAGAGAAAATTGGTTTAATGAATGAGAGTACTACCTCAACTCTCAGAACATGGGCCCTCCTTTAAAGGTAAGATACTGGGCGGTGGTTTAAGGTTGTTATTGTTGGCAGAAGGAAAATCATGGTATGGGCATTTCCAGAAAAAAAATAGCTTAATTGTGAAGGGGCTTCGTTTAGCAATACCACAATAACAGCTATATTTGACCCAGGTGTTGCAATCTTATAATTTTGAGAGTGTAAGAAACTAGCATTCATTTCTGGGGAATGGCTTTTCCAGTACTTCTCTTTAATGTTAGATCTAAAAAAATCATTCATTAGTACAATATTAACCTTGTATATTTTCCAAAGACTTTAGAAGTAATGACATCATTATATATCCCAGCATTTCCCTGAGGCAACTCCAAGAGGTTTTTTTTTGTTTCGTTTCCTTTCACGCATAATGTACCAAAGGGAGTTGGGAACTTGTCCAAGGTCCTTAAACAAGGAATTACATTAAATAGTTTGGGTTATATCTTATTTTTATATTTTATCTTTAGTTTTTTTTTGTCTTAAATGGAAAGATGTCTCCATTGTAGGTCAGGAAGGTTTTGACTTTCCATTTTCAGCCTTACCAAGAGACACCATAGATTAGAGTAGTTCATATTGTTTTGTTACCTCTGTAGAACCCCTCTTGGGACTATTCTCTAACTTGTACTTACATTCAAGGATTGGATCTCCCCAGAGCTTGGCTGCTACGTGGCTTTTAAGATATACCCTGCTGAGCTTGTGTCTCTTGACTTGTGAACTGTCTTTTAAGGATCACCTGAGGGCATGGCCATCTTCTGTCAGGCAAGGGGTTGTCCTGTCTGATTCACTCAGAAAAGTGTTCACGCTTCATAAAGGAATCATTGGCATTAACACTTTGTCATCTGTAATTACAACAGTTGAGTTGGAAGGAAACCAGATTCCCTCTTATGCTTGCATTCGCTTTTTTTTTTAGTCTACCTTTTTTTCGAGAATACTTCACTGTCTAGGATTTTGCTTATTCTCCCTCAATAAAGATTGTGATTTTATCAGCACAGGATGCTACCATATCATAGGATATTAAAACAAACAAAGAAAAAACCATCTTTATAATTTTGAAATATAAGAACCAATTTGGATAAAAGTTAAAATGTTTCTTTGGGCTTGAATCAGACAGGGAAACTTTAACTTCCAAAATAATTTTATTGGGGATGCTGTAAGTAGGAGAAAGTGGGTTAGTTGCTGTATAAACTGCTGGAAGAAATAAATATTTCTAGTGATTGTGAACATAGAATACAGTTGTGTTCTTGTACCATGCACTAGTAATTTAGAATTAATCCTTTGACTTGAAGAATTGGGTCTTTAACCCAAATGAGTACATTGCTGGTCGGACTAATCCAATCCACTTCAATTTAACAAACATTTATTTAATACTTACTATTTGATACTCCAGGGCTATCCAAAGATGAATAAGACATGATCTTTGCCCTCAAGAAGTTTAGAGTCTAATAAGGAAGATGAGACACTTACATAAATGCCCATAGTAGAAAGTAGAATAAAAGAAATAAGTTTCATGAAAGAGGGTATACACAAAGTACTGTGCATACATGGAAGGAGAAATTACCTCAACTGGGGAGACTTGAGGAAGATTTCATGCTTGGAGGAGGTAGCATTTGACCTGGATCTTGAAGGATAAGTAGAATTTTGAGAGGCAGAGGGGGCAGAGGGTATTTAACATATAGGAAAATATAGAAGCAAGTCTCCAGAAGTGGAAAAAACTTGGGGCTTGTTTAGGAATTTGAGAGTAATTGAACATTACTGGTATATGGGGTGCATGAGAGAGGGTAGCTGGATTAAAATGGTTCTTGAATTCTAGGCGGTTTTCACTGGTGGGCAGTGGAAGACCATTCCAAGTTTTTGAGTCAGGGAGTGACATAATCAGAGCTGTGCTTTTTTTTTTTTTTTTTTGCTTTTTTTTTTCTTTTGAGGCAGTGGGAATTAAGTGACTTGCCCAGGGTCACACAGCTAGCTAGTAAGTGTCTGAGGTCAGATTTGAACTCAGGACCTCCTGACTCCAGGGCCGGTGCTCTATCCACTTCGCCACCTAGCTGCCCCCAGAGCTGTGCTTTTGAACATTATTTTGGCATGGGGATGAGTAGGAGAGGTTTAGGAGAGGGCAACATCCCCACCTAGAAAACTTGCTAGCATTTTTAAGTAAAAAGGCATTTGGTATGTAACTGTGCAAGCATTTATTAATCAATCAGTAAACATTTATTAAGTGCCTACTATGTGTCAGGCACTGGCCTAAACACTACATAAGAAGCTAAATAGAGAAGTATATATTTGATCCTACAGGCACTGGAAAGTCAGTGGAGTTGGTTGAATAGAGGAGTCACATAGTCAGATCTACACTTAAGGAAAATTTGGTAGCATTGTGTAAGATGGAGTAGTGATGAGAGACTTGAAAGCAGGGAGATCAATTCGGAGGCTGTTGCAGTAATATAGTTGAGAGGTAATGAAGGTCTAAACTAGGATGGTAGTCGTGCAAGTAGAGGAAGGGTTGGTTTTTAGAGGTGTTAAAAAGGTAGAAACACTACATGCCAGCCAGTTGAATGAAAAGGATGAAATAAATTACAGAAATGTTAGAGAAGTAGTTTTTTTTCTTTCTTTTTATTTGGGGGGGGGTTTAATTTGTACAGCTAACTGCCTGCTAGTTATCACAACATAAATATCCCACAGGCATCTCAAACTCAACATGTCCGGTATAGACCTAATGTTTCCACCTTAAATTTTCCCTTCATTTAAGCTTTCCTGCTTTTGTTCAGAGCACCACCATCCTTTTTATTATGCAGGCTTACAGCCTTGGAAGTAATGTTCTCTTCAATCTCTATTGCCCCCTCATTTTCAAACAGTTAACATCTTGTCGGTTCTACTTCCACAAAATATCTCACACCTATTTCTTTTTTATAATCATTTTATCACCAACCTAGTTCAGGTCTTCATCAACTCTAATCTACACTGTTTTGATAATCTCCCTGTTTCCAGTCTCTCTCTTTTCCAATCCATTTTAACCAGTTGAAATGAGAGCAGAGAAAAAGAAATATCTGACAAAATGATCTTTTTTTCCCTCTATTAATTTCTTTATTTTTAGTTTTTAACATTCATTTCTACAAGATTTTGATTTCCAAATTTTCTCCCCATCTTTCCCCTCCCCCCACCCCAAGACGGCATGTTCTGAATACCCTTCCCCTAATCTGCCCTCCCTTCTATCTCCACCCCCCTTGTCTTATCCCCTTTCTCTTCTATTTTCTTCTAGGTCAGGATAGATTTCTATACCCCATTGCCGGTATATCTTATTTCCCAGTTGCATGTGAAAACAATTTTTTTTAACATGTGTTTTTAAAACTTTGGGTTCCAAATTTGCTCCCTTCCTCCCTCCCCACCCACCCTCATTGAGAAGGCAAGCAACTCGATACAGGTTACACATGCCTAGTCATGCAAAACACTTCCATAGTAGTCATGTTGTGGAAAGCTAACTATATTTCCCTTCATCCTATCCTACCCCCCCCTTTATTCTGTTCTCTCTTTTGACCCTGTCCCTCTTCAGACGTATTTGCTTTTGATTACCCCCTACCCCAATCCCCCCCCTTATCTCCTCCTTATTCCTTCCCCCCTATTTTCCTGTATGGTAAGATAGATTTCCATACCCAATTGAGTGTGTATGTCGTTCCAAGAAGTAGCTTTTGTCAAAGGTCAAGTCATTGATCTTTAGTGAGTGATAAATTGTGAGAGTTCATACCCAGTTTGCAAACTAGAACTAAGGACTTCAAAAGAAAGCAGTATTTGACTTGCTGAATTCTGTGTGATGGTGGGGAGAGGAGTGGAAATATGGGATTGACTTAAAAGTAAAAGTCTGGGTAAAATAAATAGGTTTGTGATGATGAATTATATGTAAGAAAAAAATGAGGAGGCTACTCAGTAACTTAACCATCGGTAAAACTCATTATTAGTCTTTTGGAATGACTGTGTAAGTAAGTGTAGACAGGAAAACATATGTGTGCCTTTAAATGATGCATCTCCATTGAGGGAAAGATGGGTAAATGGGAACATTCCCTTTGTACAGTTCGTAACTTGATGTTCATAAGCTTGTTTTAAAAAATCTTTTGATAACTGTGTTTTGACCTAATTGGTTTCCTTTGTAGTTTTATGTATTTTATGTTAGGTATTTTAAAACATTATTCTGAGGAGTGCATAGGTTTTACCCGACTGTCAAAGGGCCATTGACATAAAAAAGGTTAAGAATGACTGCCTTCATATCTTGTTGGCATTAGAGGCAGAATAATCCTTTTTTTTTTAATTTCACAGAAATTTATTTTTAGAAGTAAAAACATTCAAAGTAACAAATTTTTATTGTAGAAGTGGTCACACAAACATTACCAAGTACCATTACACTGACATGCTGCATTTAAATTCCATAAATAAGAAATAGTATTTATGTGCTAGTAAAAGGGGAATATTACCTCTTGTAAAGTTTAGGCTTTTCCCCCTCAGGTAAAATGAAAATCACCGGACTGAAATATTGTTGATGACTTAAGTAGCAATCAAGAGACCTGGATTCTAGTTCCAGTTCAGCCCTTAACCATCTGTGTCTTTATGGTAGTCATTTCTCTCCTTTTGGCCTCAGTTTTCTCATTTGTAAAAGGGAGAGGATGGATGAAGCACTGCAGATGGATAGAGCATGAGGTTCTGGAGGCAGAGGCCCTCATTCATAGGCTCTTTACCTGTGTGATCTTAGATAAAATTGAGCCTCAATTTCCTTCTCTGTAAAACAGGGTAATTGGTCTAGATGGCTTTACCTTTGAGGTCCCTTTCAGCTCTAAATCTGTGTTAGGATCTGTGTTCAGTAAATCAGCCAAAGGTTCTAGAAAGGAATGAAATTTTGCTATTTTTCTTATGATTATACATGTCTCTGAAAATAATTTAACATGCAGAGGTATTTTTCAACAAAGAATGCCGATATTTGGATAGGTCCTGAGCCATCTTTGGAAAACTTTGACCTTGTGTCCATTTGGCTTTGTTCTTTGCATATATAGACTGATGACTTGAAGAAGCTGTGACCAGAAAGAACCATTCTTTGCATGCATCCATTGCCTAGATGCCATTGATCTAGTTAGTACTTCTTTCGAGGCAGAATAATCCTTGATCTCTACAGAGGCCTTAATAGCTCTGGGACATCACATAGTCAGATGACTGTGACAAGGAAGAGATTTTGACAATGACAGCAGGTACACATTTTTCTTTAAATGTACCATTATACATAGGTCTTTAAGCACACCAAGGAGCAAATAATTCACTCTACTTCCTTATTAAGTAGTGTCTAATGACACACGCTACTATGATCTTTTCCTGGGTAGTAGTAACTTACATTTTCATGGTGCTTTAAGGCTTATAAAGGGTTTTTCTCACAAGCCTGTGAGGTGGAGGTGTCTCACTCCCCAGCAGCCCCAGTGGTTCCTCCTGAGTGTGGCCACCAGATTAAAATGTAACTAGGAAATGTTTAACAAAATTTTTTAAAAAATACAACATAAATAATATTAATATGTGGTTTTCTAAGTCAATATGTGACCCAGATTGGTTTCTGTTTGCATTTGACACAACGGCTGTAAGGTTAAATAATATGATGTAAGTATTGTTCAGAGGACCTGGGCTATAATCCCTGCCTTGCTGCTCAGCACCTGTGTGATTCTGAGCGACATCCTTATCCTCTCTTAGCTTCAGTTTCGTCCATACAGAGAAAGGATTTGAACAGGTCCCCTCCAGTTCTAAGTCCTACAATTCTATTATTCTCATTTTATAGATTAGAAAACTGAGACTCAGAAAGTTGATGATTTGCCTGGAGTAATGAATGTTGGAGCCAGGACTCAAGCATGAGTCTCCTCACTCTGAATCTAGTTCCCTTTCTACTCTTCCACCTGTAACTTGAATATTTTTAGTTTCTTAGAATGAATTAGTAGTCAGGGTTGTGTGTTAGAATGAGAAAATGTTAGATCTGGAAGAAACCTTAGACACCATCCAGCTTAATTTCTAATTTTATAAAGAAAGAAAATGAGGTCCAGCAAGAGGGAGTGACTCAGTGTTGAATATCCAGTGCTCTCTGCATTACACTGTGCTGTCTTCCATTGACTTCCTGATGACTGTGCCCATCAAATTGTTCAATTCAACAAGCATTTGTTGAGCACCTACTGTGTGCCAAGTCTTGTCCTGTACATTGATGCTGGCTTCATTTTTTCAAGGAGCAAGAGGCTTTTCATGTCTCCTGAGACTTTTAAGTTGTATGCAAGCCCTTGCATTCTCTGCCCTGTGCATTCCATGATTGAGTAGAAATTTCATAGTCAGAACCAATTTGGAGAATATTCCAATAATGTGATTGGTATTCAACCCAGCCTAGCTATTGGTTCTGGCTGCACCAGGTTAGCAGCACATCATGCCATTTCAGAGACAGAATACTTTTTTTTAAATTTAATTTAATTTTTAAAAAATAATTTATTTATTTTTAGTTTTCAGCATTCACTTCCATAAGATTTTGAGTTTTAAATTTTCTCCCCCCCCCCCCCAAGACAGCGTGCAATCTGATATAGGCTCTACTTGTACATTCATATTAAACGTATTTTCCCATTAGTCATGATGTAAAGAAAAATTAGAACTAATGGGAGGAACCATGAGAATGAAGCAATAAAACAAAACAACAAAGGAAAAGAAGAGCAAATAGTATGCTTCCATCTGCATTCAGACTCCATAGTTCTTTCTCTGGATGTGGATAGGTAGGACAGAATACTTTCTGAGAGAGGCTTACAGCTTTTCTCTATAGTCATAGACTATCAGAGCTGGATGGGAACTTTAAGATTGTCTTGTTTATCCTCATTTTTCAGATGAGGAAACTCAACAGAGCTAGGACTTGAGTCCAGGTCTCCTGACTTCCATTGGGATGATCTTTCTGGTATGCTATAATGGCTTCCATTGTGTAACACTGAAGAATGATACCATTGTGTGCTTATTTGAGAAGAAGACTCAGTCATTAAGGTCCAATTCTTTGTGCTGCTTATGTCCTTCAAGTAGTAGTCCTATGTAGAAGTAGCTTGATGCTAAACTGTATTGACAGTGTAAATGCTTCAGATACGGAATGGTGGGTGGCTTTTTTTCCCTGTTTTTTTTTCTCTGTATAAATTGACTTAAATAAGGGCTCTTATCAAACTTGATTAAGGCACCCCTGAAAAAAACTCTTTTGCCTGTTTTCCATTGGCATATTGGCAATGGAAGAAGTGATGATGCTCCTTGTCTTTCCCTCCTTTTTAATCTCTCAGGCATGTTCCTTAGAAAGACCCGTTTTATTCATCGCTAGCTCTGGCTTTGGGAATTTTCTCTTATATTTCAGTAATTAAAAATTGGTCCTGGCAAAAGGTGTTTTACGAAGGTGATAATGAGTTTTTTAATACGTTCCAGTTGTAGAAATTGTGCTCAGTTTAGTTTAGAGTGGAGAACAGATGTGGTTCCCACCCATTGGCCATGAATTCAAAATTAGGTTAAAATACTGATAGGTTTATCATGCAGCACATAGTTTTGAGGGAAATAGGAGATATTGGGGTCCACAGGTATTTGAGTGTCAAGGTACACTGCAGGTTACCCCAAGGGAGTCCTGTGGTGATTCATATAAAAGTGGTGAAGACTTGGCAGTAGCAATATGAGCTTCCCAAGGTTCCAAGCCATCCTCACAGAGTGGCCTCTTAGTGTAAGGGGAAGTACAGCCTTCATAACTTGTTCTTGCCTCAGTTCTCTGCTACTCCATGGAGATTGTCAGCCAAGGGGCCAATTAATGGCAATTAGCCTGATTGCTGAGCATAAACAAGCAGCTTGCTGTTGTTACATACCCAGTGCTTATTGGGACAATTCAAATTTATTTTAATTACATAATGCCAATATGAGAATAATACTTGGTTGTTAAATCCAACATTTTATATTGCTAATTCTATTTGGATGAATTACTTCCAGAAAGCAACTGTAAGGGGACAGTGACTTCTTTTCCCTCATTGTTTGCATTAATTAGCACCTATTTGTTTGAGGAGGGAACTGTCCCAGGAGACCTGAATTTGAGAAAATGAAAGCCATGTTATTTGTAAGTAGCAATGAAACAATGAAATGTCTGGTATCCCAGAGTTGGTTTTTTTTTTTTTTTGGTACATTAGAATTCTTTTGAGAGAATTATGTAGTCTATCTTTGTTTCCATGAAATGTCTTAGGTAGGACTATGTTAGTTTCGAATAAAAGGATAGGGATAGAAAGACTTTAAGGATTTGATTGGCTTAATTAAAACCATAAAACTTATTCTGTGCTATCCTAGGTGATATGGCTGTGAGGAAGAGGAGAGGAAAGAACTAAGCTCGTTTTCTTTTGCAGCTGCAGCTGTGATCCTCAGCTGTCTGTCTTCAGTGAAGGGACCTGATGTTTTACGTTATTGGTGAGTGACGGAAAGATCCCTTTTTTTCTTTTTTTTTCTGTTGTTTGTGAATCTTGTTTAACTCCATTGCTATTTGACCTAGAAAATTGCTGGTCCTGCCAAATATACCTCAGTAGACTGGACAGTGGTAAAACTACTGATGCCTTGTGACTGTTTTGTTTTTACCACAATTATGGGAACTACACATGCAATACTGGGTGCATTATGTATGATGTATGTCATGTCAGAGAAGTATACCTCATTATCTACCAATAACACAGGATTATAGATTTAGAGTGAGAAGGAACCTCAGAGGTCATCTAGTTCAACCCCCTCATTTTACAGAAGAGGAAACTCAGGCTCAGAGAAGTTAAGTGACTTACCCAAGCATCATACCAATCATTGCAAATCCAGGAATCAAACCGAGGTCTTCTGATGCCAAATCCCTAAGTCCATATATTGTATTTGGGAAGGTTTTCTGACCCTTCTCAAAGACTCCTGGCCTCTCCCATATTAAGCTACAGTGAAGTATAGCTGGTGGGTGATATGTCTGGTCTTTTCTCCACATAGGTGGAATCACAGTGTCTGTGGTTGCCTTCTTCTTCACAATTAAGTTCTTCTTTGAGCTTGCCGCACGAGTAGTCAGCTTCCTCCAGAATGAAGACCGGGAGCGCCGAGGGGACCGAACTATTTATGACTACGTGCGGGGAAATTACCTGGACCCCCGGTCCTGCAAAGTCTCCTGGGATTGGAAGGACCCCTATGAGGTGGGCCATAGCATGGCCTTCCGAGTGCATGTAAGGGAATGTTTCTGTCTCCACACCCATTGGGGTTTCTAGTGGCTTGCTTTTGAAGAGCCTGGTTCTGCCTGTGGGTGGTGCTAGACTGAAATACTATTATTATCTTCCCTTGCCCTGCCCTCCCACCCCAAAGAATTTGGGAAGGATTCATATTTAAGCACTAGGGACTATTTTATTATTTTTCTTCCAAGGGTACACTTCTCTTTGAGGACTTATAAACTTAATGCCTTTTCAGAAAGTGAAAAATGTTGTCAGAACAACACAAGTCAGAACATCCCCACTGCAATGTGTTTAGCACAAATAGCACAGGATTCAGGCATTCAATGATACCAATGTAGTTTGATTTTAAAATTTGGGTCAATATTAATAAATCTCTCCAGAGGAGAAATTTCTGGTAGGACAAGAATTAGCATTGGTTATTCAGAAATGTGGGGTTTGAGTGGTACACTGACACAGTCCACTCCTGTCTTCTGTACAGCTAAGTTTGTATATTATTTAACTTTCATTAAACCTTGCATTGTATGTTGCTAGTTATTTCTCCCTGTGATACTATGAGCGAGACTCTGGGAGTGGATGGCAATTCTAACACACAATTCCTGCTCCCCTTACCAGTACCTGCTTTCTCCCATGTACAACAAATGGGTTTACTCTGGTCATAGGGGAACACTATTCTTTCTCTGGGCATTAACAGGTGCCTTTCACTTCCCCTATGCAGTTATTCTACAAGAATGGACAGCCCTTCCCAGCTCATCGGCCTGTGGGATTACGAGTTCACATCTCCCATGTTGAGTTAGCAGTGGATATTCCGGTAACCCAGGAAGTCCTTCAGGAGCCCAATTCCAATGTTGTAAAAGTGGCCTTCACTGTTCGCAAGGCTGGTCGCTATGAAATCACAGTGAAACTTGGTGGCTTAAGTGTGGCCTACAGTCCCTACTACAAAATTTTTCAGGCTGGTAAGATTTTAGGGATAGGAGTGCCAAGGTGGATTTAAAAGTCTTCTGTAGTTTGACACCATTCCAAATGAAAATAGTCCTGTCTTCCTCTCACCTTTATTGCCGTTGTATGTTTTCCTATACTGATGGAACCTATCTTTAATAAATATTTCTGAAGCTTCAGTTTTCTGAGAATTGAACCTCCTTTTGTCTCCAGTTATACTCTGCATATCCTTTGTACATATTACATAAGCAACTAGATCCTCCTTTGTTCTTCTTAAAATACTCAGAAATGTGGAATCTGTCCTAGTATGCAGCATATGTTTTGTTTCAATTTGTGGGAATGATACTTGTGCCATATACACTGTGGTGGCATCCTTTTGAGAGTGTCACTGGGCATTAGCCAATTTAATAGCTACAGAATAAAGATATATGACCTTTTGGGGTTAAATCCTAGCGGAGTTTAATTTGGTTTTGGTACTTTAACCATGGGCTGGTAACTGATTTCCTTACTCTTGTAACAATAGAATGAGGCTGTTGTCATTTACCTTTTCCTTTGAAGCTAAATCTTTCAAATAGATTCTTTTGTAACTAGCTGTTTCATTATAACTTCCTTTTGCAAGAATGTGCTCACTTGGAGACCCCATCTCTACCCAAAATTCTCTTCAATGCAGGCTGAAGACACTCCTCTGCCTTTCAGTCCAGCCTATCCCTAAGGTGTGGGAGCTCAGGGTGTGGGGCAGGGTGGACAATGACAGTATGTGGCTTTTTATTTCCTTTCATCATTTTAGTCTTGGTTTTGCCTCACAAAAAAAGTCCCCACTGGGAAAGTAGTACAGAGTAGAAGTGGGAGTTTAGCTCCAACTTTTGAATTCTCTGTTCAAGTCCCTTCTCTCTCATTTCACTTAGTGCTTGGATTGGTAAAGGATTTATAGACATAGAAACCTAGAATTCATCATATGAAACAGTCCCTTTATTTCCTTCTGTGCTGTGATTTAAAAGTGTTGTTTGTCCTTGGGGATGGCGAAGCCTTCAGAACACACTGTTCAAAGTAGAGCTCTTTGTACTGTGAAGATCCATCTGTTTTAGCATCTCTCGCTAAACGTTAGATCCTGTCCTTTTTGTTCTAGGGATGGTGGTTCCTTCCAAGACTAAAATTGTGTGTCATTTCTCTACTCTTGTTCTGACCTGTGGCCAACAGCACACCCTTCAGATAGTCCCTCGAGATGAGTATGACAATCCTACCAACAATTCTGTGTCTTTGATAGATGAACACAATTACAGTGTATCCATTCATGAGGTGAGCTCTCCTTTTCTTGTGTGCTAGGGAGGTTAAAGTCTTTTTGTTTTTAGTCAGTCTCCTTTTCTTACCTCATTTCCTGTCCTCTTCTTATGCTAAGTGATATTCCATCTCTCTTTGTAGCTTGGTCCTCCAGAAGAAGAAAGTACTGATGTCTCATTTGAGAAATCTGTGATATCCAAAAGACAGACTTGCCAGGTGTTCCTTAAGCTCACCTTGCATTCCCGGGGCTGCTTCCGTGCCTGCATTTCATACCAAAATCAGCCAATCAGCAATGGTGAATTTGATATAATTGTCCTAAGTGGTGAGTTGAAGGGATTTGGAATTTGTTCTTTTTGATGCATTTCTCCTCTCCTTTGACCTACTGAAATTTTTTTAAATTAATTATTTTATGTTTAGTTTTCAACATTTACTTCCATAAGCTTTTTTTTTTTTTGGCTGGGCAATGGGGTTAAGTGACTTGCCCAGGGTCACACAACTAGTGTCAAGTGTCTGAGACCGGATTTGAACTCAGGTCCTCCTGACTCCAGGGCTATGTGTTCTATATATTGCACCACCTAGCTGCCCCTCCCATAAGCTTTTGAGTTTTAAATTTTCTCCCCCTCCCTCCCCAAGACAGCGTGCAATCTGATATAGGCTCTACATATACATTTCTATTAAACATATTTTCACATCAGTCTTGTTGTAAAGAAGAATTAGAACCAATAGGAGGAACCACAAGAAAGGAAAAACAAAACAGAAGAGAAAAAAAAAGAGCAAGTAGTATGCTTCCATCTGCATTCAGACTCCATAGTTCTTCCTCTGGATATGGATAGCATTTTCCATCATCAGGCTTTTGGAGATGTCTTAGATCCTTGCATTGCTGAGAAGGGCTAAGTCTATCAAAGTTAGTCATCGCACAACGTGGCTGTGACTGTGTACAGCGTTCTCCTGGTTCTGCTCACTTCACTCAGCATCAGACCATACCTACTGAAATTTTTATTAAATCTTTGAGCCCTTCTTGGTTTAGAGCAGTTCTTAACCTTTTTTTGTAACATGAACATTTAACATTCTGGCAAAGCATATAGATTCCTCAAAATAATGTTTTTTAAATCCATATAATAAAATACAGAGGAAACCAGCTATATTGCTTTACAGTTATAAAAATACTTAAAAAAAAATTCATGATCCCCTGAAATCTATCCAAAAACCCAGGGTTAAGAACTCCTGGTTTAGAGTCTTACATACTAAATGGTGATCTAGATTTAGCTCTATGTATCTAGATCTATATATAGTTTTAGATATTTGGATCTGTATGCAAAAAGATACCACCATTTAGTTTGTCTATTTATCTGTCTATCTTTCTATCTATAGTATGTTTCTCTAACATATCCTGTTTTCAGTCTTTTCCTTTATTCCTTTTAGAGAATGAGAAGAACATTGTAGAACGCAATGTATCCACCTCAGGGGTCAGTATTTATTTTGAGGCTTATCTTTATAATGCCACCAACTGTGCCAACCCACAGTGGCACCTTCCACCCATGCACATGAGCTCCTCCCAACGTCGTCCTTCCACTGCCACTGAGGAGGAGGATGAAGATTCTCCCTCTGACAGCCAGACCCCTGAAAAGGTGAAAAAACCTAAAAAGGTGTACTGCTACGTATCACCCAAGGTAAAAACACCTTTCACTTTTGCTTTTAAATTCCCCTGCTCATGCTTACATATTTATAGTGCTTGCCACTAAGTATCTGTAGGACTATAGCTTACTGGAGTTGCCTTTCAGAATATCTACTCCGCTAGAGTTGGAATAGGGCAATTGTCTTTAACATTCTAGAAAACTGGAAAAACTAGATAGATGTTGAACATACACTCGTGGTATTCTGAAATTTTTTGATAATCTGGACTGGACTAGAGAAGCCAAGATGTTTTAAATTGTAATCTGTCACCATATGTTTTTAGCTATTCCTGAGGATATAGTTTTCAAAGTTATGGGCTGGTTTTGAGAAAGTTACCTTTAGCTGTTGGAATTTTCTTTCAAGAACTAAAATCTTAGCTGACACCTTGTGCTGTGTTGAAACAAGTTGATTAAAGATAGAATTTTATAATCTCTCAGTGCATGACAAATGACTTTCCCTCTCTCCCTAGCTGGAGGGATTGGAGTAGAGATACTTTGGCAGGGATGAGAACATAAACCTCCCAAAGAGGTGCTTTGGGTTAGGGAGTTCTTTTTAAATATATGGATTTTGTTTATGAATTCAGGACTTAGATAAATGAGAAACTATGCAAACTCCTTGTTACAGATCTGGAGTCCCTATATCTCTGTGACCCAAACTAAATTTTGGGCTTGTTCCACTTAACGTTCTTTTGCAATTTTGACAGTTAAAGATCTGGCCTGCTAAACACTCAAATTATAGATCCCTCTTAGAATTTTTTTACTTCTTGTATCATTCTTTTCTTCCCTTGTTTTGTTGGAAATTACATCAAGGGGGCCTTACTGTATCCTTGTATGAGGGGTATTTTCTCCTTTTCCTCTTTGAAGAAAAGTCCAAGGGTTGTTTTCAAGTTAACTTTCCTCGATCCCAGGGTTGCTGTCAAACTGGAAAGAAAGGAGAAAGCTGTGCTCAGTTTCTTAATGCACAGAACCCCCCTTTTAAAAAATAAGACTTAGAGCTGAAAATGACATTGGTGACCATCTAGTCTAACCTTCTCATTTGAGGGCTGAGGAAACAGACTCAAGGAGGAAGGAGGGGGTGATGTTAAGTAATTTGTCTAAGTGCATATAAGAAGTAGAGTGAGGATTTGAACTTTGAAGGATTTCTCGATCTTAAGCCTTGGGCAGTAATTATTATTATTATTATTATTATTGCAATAAGAAATGGGGTTTAAACTTTAATAAAACTTAAATTCCAATGACTCCAGGTAATTTTAAAAAATTTCTTTTGCTTTATTTCCTTTCTGGTTTCTTGGTCCCACAGCAACTCTCAGTGAAAGAATTCTACCTGAAAATCATTCCCTGGCGCCTCTACACTTTTAGAGTATGCCCTGGGACAAAGGTAGGTTGAGCTTTGTGTCTTTTCCATATTGAATGAATTTTTTTTTCCCTTTTTAAAGACTGTTTCCCTATCTTGCCCAGGTTGGAAGTACAGGACTTATACACTGGCCCAGTCCCACTATGATTAGCATAAGAGCTTTGATCTGCTCTGTTCCTAATGTGGACCAGTTTGCCTTTCCTTAGGCAACTTGGCAACACCTCTACTCCCTTCTCCCCCATCCTGTGCTTCTTCCCACCCCCTCCCCCCATATTAATGCTGAACTTAGTGTGTTCATCTGATCAACTTAGCCCACTGCAACTAAGAACTCCTGAGCTCAGGGGATCCTTCAGCCTCAGCCAGATCTACACAATAGCAAGGATTACAAGGTGTGCACTGCCATGCCTGATTTAACCCTCTTTCCCTTTTTTCCTGGGAGAGCTTCTGATGGATCTGGATGTTCTCACTGTACATAGAATCTGCTGCCAAAGGAAGGAACATTATCTCTACTAAATAGCATCAGGAATATGTAAATTATAGAAAGAATGCCCCATAGGAATTGTTAGCAATTCAAAATATTCTAGCACTAATAGCTCATTAGTGCTAGAATTTGTTTGTAAGATTATATTAATAGGAGTGGTTGTCCATTCAAGCCTTTATCTTGTTCAATCATCCTGTGTTGAATATTAATCCATAGACTCAGCATTTATATACATCCTTTTACTCCTTTTCCTACATAGACTTAGAGAAATGATAAGATTTTGCTGGAATGGGCCATTGTGTTAAGAGTAAGCTTCCCCCAAACAATCTAAACAGACTTATTCTTTGCTAACTCATGGCAGCTAGGTCTACCTGCTGTTATTCTCCAAGTCCTTAGTCTATAATCCTAGGCTTGAAAGGGACTTTCAAGATCAGTTCTAAACTCTCCATCTTGTGTTGCTTGGTAGTAGAGTAGATGGAGCTGCCTATGCATTTTTTTTTTAAGGGGGCACATTTGTGTATTTAGAAGGTATATCCCTGGTTTAAAAGTATAACAAAACATACATAATAATAAAACTCAAAGTGAACGTACTTTAGTCCTCTGATGAATCAGAAGACGTAGCAAGATCTCAAAGTACCTCAGAAATAGTATAAGGAACGACAATTACAATTGTACAGTGAATGTAGCATCTAATGCAATTGCAGCAGCAAAATGTCAAATAATAGACAGTTCCCTGTATCTATAGTTTAACAAAATATTAGCTCAAGATTGTTGAAAACATTTTACTTAGAAAAGCAGTCAAAATTTGTTTTGATTGACAGAAAATGAAAGCACTTGTAATGATAAAGGGTGCATATATGTAATGATGTGCTTGACTCCATTCCTTTAAATCCCTCTAATCTTCCAATTTGGAGGCATTTAACCCCTACCTGTAGATTTAGCTTACCTCCAGTAAACTAAATATCCCTAGGCTAGGAATATAGTGGGATATAAACTTGGTGTTTTGCAGAGAGCAGGAGCTTTACCTATGTCTTTTGTTCTCAAGTTCTGTTCGTGAAACCCTGATGGATGAAAATTATTTTGAACTCAGATTTTGTGAGACCTCAAAGCAATATTTTGGGGCAGTGGTGCTTACTACAGGATCACCCTGCTTTGATGCTGTGCACTAGACTTTCTTTGATGTTGTGTGGCCAGCTTGGGGCATGAGGGGTTTTGTTGGGTTGATCTGGCAGATCAACAGTTCTGACATTGAATGTATGTGTTTTTTTTTCCTTCCTTACAGTTTTCATACCATGGACCTGACCCTGTGCATAAGCTGCTCACACTAGTGGTAGATGATGGCATCCAGCCTCCCGTAGAGCTGAGCTGTAAGGAAAGGAACATCTTAGCTGCCACTTTTATACGTTCTCTCCATAAAAACATAGGTAAAGTTGACCTGGGATTCTTAATGAGGAGGGAAGGGTTACTCACAACCCACGGTATAAGAATGTAGAAGTAGATTTGCCAGACACACTTTGTAATGGGATTGTGACCGCAGTGGGTCCTGTTGCTTCCCAGGAGGCTCAGAGACCTTTCAGGACAAGGTGAACTTCTTCCAACGAGAGCTTCGGCAGGTACACATGAAAAGGCCACATTCAAAAGTCACACTGAAGATCAGCAGACACACCCTGTTGGAGTCTGTAAGTAATGTTTTATTTCCCTAGAAGCTCCACAGACCCCTTTGTGCTTCTGAATGTAGTCAGACTCTCTTCCTATTTACTGCTTAAAATGGTCTCCTCTATAATTCTCTTTGGTGTATAGTGGTGAAGGAACTAGACTGGGCAGCACAATGAGTTTTAAAATCTAAATAAAAAAAGCTTTAAGAAATCTTACGTATATGTATAGGGCAGGAGGATGTAGTTAAAATTATTAAGGAAATAAACTGCTTGTTAATAGATGAGAAGAGATGTTGTTGGGTTAAAAGGAAATCATTTCTGACGGTCAGTCAGAAAATGGACATCTGATGTGTCTTTCTCATTTGCACAGACATTAACATAATTCATACATTCCCTTGGAGTGGGTAGATTTGGCTTCCGTCCAGAAGCTCTGAGTGTCTGACTCTGGATAGCCCAGTAGAAAGTCTCTTTTTCTTCACCGTGTTCTTGCTGTGGCTTCATTCCCTGTGTTGCCCCTAGCTCTGTGGCTAGAGAGAGAAAGTTGTGTTGTGAATAGAGGGGGCCTTCATGCTACAAACCAGAGCTCATCCTTGGTTATTATAGTTACTTGAGTAGTTTTCATTGTTTGCTCACTTCTCTGGGCCTCCGTTTTCCTGTCAGTAAAGTCAAAGTTATAAGCTGTAGCCTTTCCTTCCCATGGAAAGATATTTTAATATTTTTAAAAAATCAGTTTGCTTTGAAGCTTTATGCTTTGTGTATGTGAGATGTTATTAATTTGCTCACTTCTAATTATGACATTTCTTCTTGTTATTGTTGGATTTGAATAGGCACAGCCATGCTCTTGACCTCAGCATTTCTGATATGCCAGTATGTTGATAGTTTTCTCTCTTTCATTGCCCTCCAGTCTCTGAAAGCCACTCGGAATTTCTCCATTTCAGATTGGAGTAAGAATTTTGAAGTAGTTTTCCAGGATGAAGAAGGTGACTTGGGAGTTTTTATTTACCATCTTTGAGATATCCCTTTTTTCCCTTTTGAGAGAAAAAAATACACAGTGAGCCAGAAAAAAAGCAATAACATTATGGGTTCAGATGGCAGGATAGAGCCTAAAGAGCATGAACACAAGGGAAAGTCAAAAGAGGAGGTGTAACAGTTTGGAGCCTAGAGTTGTTATTAATTGGAAGGCAAAGGGAAATGAACTGCTTTTCTAGTTTTTGTCTTTCTGTTTATCTACACTAGGGGGCACAGTTCAGTGGCCAAAATAGTTATTACTCTATAGATGGGGGCAAAATTTCACAAACCTTTGTATTTTAGGGATGTGTGTGTGTGTGTGTGTGTGTGTGTGTGTGTTAGGGGTGAGGGGGAAGAAGAGGGAGGAGAGGGAGGGACTAGGACAAGTCAGAAAAAAATAAAGGAAATTAAGTCACTGTAGGCCCCAAACTGATTTGTTTTTGTTTTGTTGTTCAGCACTGGATTGGGGAGGCCCTCGCCGGGAATGGTTTGAACTAACCTGTAGAGCATTGTTTGACACCACCAGTCAGCTCTTCACTCGATTCAGCGACAACAACCAAGCTCTGGTGAGTCTGTGCCTTTCCCTGAGTGGGATAGGGGTGGGGGTAGAGAGGGAGAACTCTGCATCAGATGGCAGAACCAACAAGGGGCATATGTAGACCATGGTGCTGATTTAGTAGTCTAAAGACCCAGGTTCTTGGTCTTGATATTGACTCAATATGTGAACTAATCAGGCTGTTTCTATTTTCTTTGTCTTTAGTTTTGGCATCTCTAAAATGGGAAGAATTTTACTAGTTGCCAGATAACCCATACAAGTGAAAGAAAAGATAATGCAATCACTACCACTATTACTAAATATTACTCTAGTCCATGATTTCTTCTCAAAGGATTCCTTAATCAATTCTCAGTAGCACAGAAATAAACTTTAACTGGGAGAATTCATGGGGTTTGCACCTATACTCAGCATGTATTGTTACTGCATTTTTTGTATAGGAAAAGATTCAAAATAAGTTTTCAGCTATAAATTGCTAGGAAGAACTGATTTTAAATCTCTTTGTTCTTCATAATCTTCACTCTTTTTTTTTTCTTCAAGTTTTGAATTTTTTTGCTAACTCTTCTGTTCTGTCTCCTTCATTTTTGAATATATCCTTCCAGTGTTCCCTACCCAGCAAGCTATTCCTTGTAAACAAAGAATAAAAAAAAGGAAAAAAAAGATCAGTAGTTCAGTAAAACCAAATAGCACATCAACCATGTTTGGCAGTATATGTAATGTTACATACCTTTAGTTCCTACTTTTACAAATAAGGGAAGGATACATTTTGACCTTCTATTAAATTTTTTTTAACAGAAAATTGATTTTTAATTGTATAAAAGTATGCATACAAAATATATAGAAAGTAGTAAAAGTTATGACACATAAAACTGAAGATGGACAGCATGAGCACTGTCTCAAGCTCACTGGAATCTAACTAGTAAATGAGACAAAGACCACCGGTTTGTGGCAGATCCAGGGACCAGCTCCCTGTTCTTTCCCAGGGAGAGAGGAACAAGGAGAAAGGAGGGGACGAATGATTTGGGGTTTCAAATACCAAATGAAACCACCTAGTTAGAGGTAATCACACCTTTGAACTAACCCAGAGTAGTTGCTCTTTACATCTGTCTATATTTGGGGAAGGGGGGAGTGAGGGAGAGCCCATTCTAGGTGCTAATGAAGTTGTGACTATCACCAGTATCTTTGAGCCCAAACATAGTAGTCACCTGGAGAGCTCCCAAATAAAAAGAGTTGCTCATCTCACCTGAAGGAGGAAGTTGGGCCTCGTTGCCTACTTTTCCTAAAAGTGAAGATTGTGGCTGAGCAAAGATTAAATAAGCATCAACCAATCACAGAAAACAGCTGCAAAAGCAAGATGATTCCCAAGCTCAATTTAGAAAGTGCATTCAAAGTGGTACACAGTAGTTTAAAGGAGTTTGTAGAAGCAAGTCAGAAAGATATCTCAGAGAAACCTCCAGGCCACAAGGATAATTCTTTAGTGTTGTTCCAGAAAATCCCTCCTGTACTTCCTCAAGGGAGAGTGAGAATGAGGTAGAGGAGCTCACTCCTTAGTGAAAAGAAGCAAAATCAGAATTCTAGAGACAGGCAACTGCTCCTATATCTCTTCCCCAAACATTCCAGATAGGAAATCCAGTCAGATCACTGTCCAGTCCAGTTTACTGAACAACTTGTTCATGGGTCAGCTGAGAGAAAGAGAAAGAAATCAGAGTCCTGGTAATAGGCAACGTCATGTAGAGAGGAAACAAGATGTAGTAGCAAAAGCCCTGGACTTCAGGCCTGAGTTCCAATTCCAGCTGCAACTCTGATCCTCAGTTTCTTCATTCAAAAAAATGGGGATGATATTACTTACACTACTTACCTTAAAAGGTTGTAAGGAAAATGTTTTATAAACTTTAAAGCATCATATAAATGTATTCAACTACTACTACTATAACTGGTCAGTAGCTTCTGTCTGTAGGTAAAATGGCAGCTATTTAGGAGAAGAAGGAAAGTCCTTCACAGTTAAAAACATCCTTTCTAAAGGAACAAAGTGATGGGAACAATATATATCATAAGTATGTGTTTCATTTAACATACAATTTGTGTTGTCTCCAGGGAGCAAAGAAGACCCTAAGCTAGCACTGGTTGTAAATCAAAAGGAAAAGGGGAAGGAAAGAAAGAGAAACAGAAATTTCAGAACTCACCACCCAGCTCTGTAGTGTGACCTATATCAAAAAATCTGAGTTGTTGGAATAGTTTACATATATCCTGGTAGCATCTTGGATTGGGACAGACCCCTAAGTTATACTTAGGATCACTCTTCATCTCCCTTGAGCTTTTTTTCCCACCAACTTCTCAGGGAGGCAACTAAGTGTTAAGAGGTTAGGCATCCCTGTCCTGTTCTAGAATGTGAGGAGACCTTAGAATAAAGTGGCATGGCAGGATGTTGATAGGAATGACTCAGTCTTGAAGAGGTCCTATTCAAGGCAATCCGAAGCCTGAAGATATACCCTGTTGAATTCAAAGGAGACGTAGGAGTTGAAGCTGGGGTAGGAGGACAGGGACCTTGAGCTCAAAGCTGTTCAAGTTGGCTAGGTTAAAAAAAAAAATTGATAGCTTTTGCTTTTACAAAATCCACATTTTGTAGATTTATCTGTATTTTTCACTTTGTAACCCTGCCCTGCCCAGATAGTCTTGTCTTATAACAAAGAATTAAACAAAGTTCAGCAAAACTAAACATATTGGGGCAGCTAGGTGGTGTGGTAGATAGAGTTCTGGCCCTGGAATCAGGAGGACCTGAGTTCAAATCCAGCCTCAGATACATAACACTCACTAGCTGTGTGACTCTGGGCAAGTCACTTAACCCCAATTGCCTCACCAAAAAAAAACAAAAACAAAAGCAAAAAAACTAAATATATCAACCAAGTCCAGAATTAATATGCAGTATTCCACACCCATAGCCCCCTGCCTCTGCAAAGAAAGGAAAGAAGTGTGCCTTTACTTTGAATTACTTAAGTGACTAAAAGGCCTAAATTGCTAAAAACACTGTGGCAATTTTGAGGGCTTTTCAGTTGTTACACTGAGTTCTTTCTTCTTTAGGTTCTCTCCTAATCCTGGGAATGATGGACAGAGCCATTGAAATCTCTTTTCTCTTGACAGGTGCATCCAAACCCTAACCGACCTCCACATCTCCGGCTAAAGTTATATGAATTTGCAGGGCGGCTTGTAGGCAAGTGTCTCTATGAATCATCTTTAGGAGGAGCTTACAAGCAACTGGTACGAGCTCGTTTTACTCGTTCTTTCCTGGCTCAAATCATAGGACTTCGAATGCATTACAAGGTAATGCTGGGTGTTTTCCACAGTAAAGCTCCAGGCTTCTCTTCAATTTGATTCATTTCAGCAAACATGTATTAAGCACTTTCTATGTGCAAAGTGCTGTGCTTGCTGCTAAAGCTATAAAGACAAATCAGAATTAAAGTCCCCATCCTCAAGAAGCTTCCATTGTACTGGAGGCTGTGGCATGTTAACAGATAATTAAATACAAGATAACTTGAACGAGTCAGGAACACTAACAACTAAGAATATCAGGAAGGGTTTCCTATAGGAAATAGAGCCAAGGAAGCTAGTTATTGTAAGAAGTGATGGTGAGGGGAATGCCTTCTATGTATATGAGACAGCTTGGGCAGAGACAGGGAGGCAAGTATGGAATGCTGAATTCAGGAAATGGCAAATAGGCCTTGTAGAACAAGAAATGTATTAAGGATGGTAATGTAAAATGTCTGGAAAGGTGGTATGAAAACATATTAGAAAGGACTTTAAATGCCAAGCTGAGAGGTTCTTTTAGCCTAGAGTTGATAGGAGGCCATGGAGAATTCTTGAGCTGGAAGATCCTTTTGGTAGCTTTGTAGAATATGGTTTGGAGAAGGGAGAGACAAGAAGCAAGGAGACCAATCAGGAAGCTCTTATAATAATCCAGGTGAGAGATGTAAAGGTGGAGGTAATGCAGTAGTTGTGTAAGTGGATACAAGAGAAGACATGAATGGAGAATTGACAAGATCAGGTAATTAATTGGATCTGAAAGGTGAGGGAAAGGAAGGAATTGAAGAGGACTTAAGATAGTGAACCCAAGTGACTAGAAGAATAGTGGTGCTCTCAACAGAAGTAGGAAAATTTGGAGGATGAGCTGGTTTGGAGAGGAAGGTAATGAATTAGGAATTAGATTTGCTGAGTTTGAGATACTTGTGGGGCATTCTGGTAGAGATAACCCGTTGGTTTGGAGCTTGGAAGAGTGATTTGGGTCAGCTATATCTACCTAGTAGAGCCAGAAGCCAAATTTCAAGGGTTTGAGAAGGGAGTTGGAGGTGCAAAGTAGAGGCAACGAGTTTAACTGAGAAAAGGAGAGAGATGACAACAGCTTGAGAGGGCAGGCAATAAGATCTTTTTTTTTTTAACTTAAAAAAAAGTTATTTTTAGTTTTGATTTCTCTCCAATCCCCTCACCCTTCCCCCACTCATTAAGAAGGCAAGATATAGGACGCCCATTATACATATGAAGTTATGCAAAACATATGTCCACATTAGCCATGTTGTGAAAAAGAAAATGAAAAAAGTATACTTCAGTCTGCACTCAGATCATCAGTTCTCTCTTAGGAGATAGAAAACATTTTTCATCACGAATCCTTTAGCTTTGTAGTGGATTGTTGTATTGATCAGAGTAGCTAGGAAATAAGAATTCAGTGTTGTTGTTATAATATTTCTGTTACTGTGTGTGATGTTCTCCTAGTTCTGCTCACTTCATTTTCCATCAATTCATATAAGTCTAACTGGTTTTTCCCGAAACCATCCTGCTCTTCATTTCTTATAGCACAATAGTATTCCATCACAATTATACCACAGCTTGTTCAGCCATTCCTCAATTGATGGGCATTCCTTCAGTTTATAATTCTTTGCCACCACAAAAAGAACTGGTATAAATATATTTATACATATGGGTCCTTTTCTTTTTTCTTTGATCTTTTTAGGGTATAGGACTAAGAGTGGTATGATTGGGTGAAAGATTTGCATAGTTTTATAGCCCTTTGGGTATAGTTCCACATTGTTCTCCAGAATAGTTGGACCAGCTCACAGCTGTACCACAGCATATTAATGTCCCAATTTTTCCACATCCCCTCCAGCATTTGTCATTTTTCTTTTCTATTATGTTAACCAATCTGATAGGTTTAAGGTGGTAACTCAGAGTTGTTTTAATTTGCATTTCTCAGAGCATTTTTTAATATGACTATAGATAGCTTTGACTTCTTCTGATAACTGCCTGTTCATATCCTTTGACCATTTGTCCGTTGGGGAATGGCTCTTAGTTTTATAAACTTGCCTCAGTTCCCTATATATTTGAGAAATGAGACTTTTTTCCAAGAAACTTTCTGTAAAATCCACCCCTATACCCCACCTCCCAGTGTCCTGCTTTCCCTTTAATTTGGCTGCCTTGTTTTTGTTTGTGCAAAAACTTTTTAATTTCATGTAATAATTTTACTTCCCATGATCCTCTCTATCTTTTATTTGGTCATAGACTCTTCCCTTATCTATAGATCTGACAGGTACATTTTTCCATGCTCCCCTAATTTACTTAAGATATCATCCTTTATGTGCCTAGTTTCTGCCAAAATGCTTTCCAGTTTTCCCAGCAGTTTTGGTCAAAAAATTCTTACCTCAAAAGCTTAGATCTTTGTGTTTATCAAACACTAGATTACTATGGTAATTTACTACTGTGTATTGTGTACCTAGTCTGTTCCACTGATCCACCATTCTATTTCTTAGCCAGTACCAGATTCTTTTGATGATTACTGCTTTGTAATACAGCTTTAAATCTGGTACTGTTAGGTTGCCTTCCTTCACATTTTTTTTTTCATTGATTTTCTTACTATTCTTCTAGGAATTTGGTAGGACTCCTCCCTTATCTATTTTTCTAAACAGTTTATAATATTGGAATTAATTGTTCTTTAAGTGTTTGATAAAATTTGCTTGTAAATCCAACTGGTCCTGGCATATTTTTCTTAGGGAGCTCATTTATGGGTTGAGCTTTGAGCTTGAAGAAAGCCAGGGAAACTCATAGACAGAGATGAGGAAAGAGAGCGTTTCAGACATAGGGGATAGTCAGCAGAAAGTCATAGTTGGGAGATAGAGTGTGTCCTCTGTAAGGGAGGCCATTGTTTCTGGTGGTAGAATGGGTGGAAGTTTGAAGTAAAGTATAAGAAGACTGGTAAGGTATGAAGGGCCAGGTTGTGAAAGATTTTAAAAGCCAAACAACTAATTTTATTTCTGATCCTGGAGATTATAGGGATCCACTGGAGTTTGTGTAGAGGAGAATGACAAGGTCAGATCACTGCTTTGGGAAAAACTCATTGGCTTTTGAGTGGAAGATGGATTGGAATGGGGAGAAACTTGAGATAGGAGGACCAACCAGAAGGCTATTGCAATAATCCAGACTTGAAATGATGAGAGTTTGCACCAGGGTGATGTCTGGATAGGTAGAGAGAATGGGGGTGTATCTGAGAGATCTTATGAAGGTAGAAATGACAAGACTTAGAAATAGATTGTGTATATAGAGTAATTGCAAATTAGGAGTTGAGGATTATGCCTTGATTTAGAGACCATCTGACTGGAAAGATGGTGATACTCTCCATGGTACGAGGGAAATTTGGGAGAAAGGAGGGTTGAGGAGAAGGACGATGAGTTCTGTTTTGGACTTGTTCAGTTTTAAATGTCTGTGGGGCATGTAGTTCAAGATACCCAAAAGGTAGTTGTTCACTGGAGCTTAGGAAAAAAGTTAGGCTGAATATATAGATTTGGGAACCATTTGCCTAGAGATGGTAATTGAGCTCATCGTTGCTGATGAGATCACTAAATGAGATGTATAGACTAAAGGAGGACTCAGTTCAAAGCTTTGGGGTACAGCCATGGTTAGTGAGGAAGATCCAGCAGTGGAGACCAAGTCAGGTAGGAAACCAAGAGAGCGCAGTGTCACAAAAACTTAGAGAAGAGATAGTATTCAGGAGAAAAAGATAAGGAAAGAAGAAGAAAACAGTAGTGAAGATTGCAGAGAGGTTAAGGATGAGGGTTGAGAAAAGGCCATTATATTTTGCAATGAAGAGATCATCAGTGACTTGGGAAAGAGCAGTTTCAGTTGCATGTTGAGGTTGGAAGCCAGGTTGCAGAGAGTTTAGAATCCAGTGAGAGGAGAGGAAGTGGAAGCACCATTTGTTGCTTTCTCAAGAAACTTTAGATGAGAAGAGGAGATGAGATATAGAAGGATAGTTAGCAAATGAGGGATTTTTAAAGATAAAGGAGACTTAGGCATGTTTGTAGGCAGCAGTGACGGAGCCAGGAAATAAGGAGAAGTTGAAGTTGGTGATAGAAAGTGCAGTTTTCTGGGGGAGATGGGATGGAATTAAGGATGCATGTATAAGGATTTTCTTTGACGAGAAGAGTCTTGTCTTCATAAGAGAAGGTGTGAAGGAGGAGATGGTAGGGTCTTCATCTGAGTGATATGAGAAGAGGAGGAAGAGTATAGAAAGTTTGAGGAGATAAGGGAAGAATTGGAACTTTAAAAGTTATATCAGAGAAGAATAAAGGGAATACCACGTAGCAGGAAGGGCCCAGTCAAGATTAGATGGCACAAACTAGTTCTAGAGCCTATCTGGAGCCTGTCCCTACAGATGGGGAAGTGGAAAGGATAGGGTTCCTCTCCCACATGAAGCTCACTTTTGTTGAAGAGCAAGCATTCATGTTTCTTTTCACTGTTTTTCTTTCCTCTCAGTACTTTGAAACTGATGATCCGGAATTTTATAAATCCAAGGTTTGTTTCATTCTCAACAATGACATGAGTGAAATGGAACTGGTTTTTGCAGAAGAGAAATACAACAAATCAGGGCAGCTGGATAAGGTGAGAGGCAGGACCAAAGCCTAAGTCCGTTCTTTATACTAACACAGAGAAGGATGGGGGCTTCTTCCTTAGTCTTGCAGTGATAAAGGGATGCCAGTCTAGCTATTAGTAATTGAACACATTACTCCTTTTACCAGTTGGTGTAGCCTTTTTGTTCCCAGAGAAAAGAGACACAATGTGGGGATAGGAATCCTAGAATTTTAGCGCTGGAAAGAATCTTAGAGATCATCTTATCTAACTTTTATAGAATAAGAAAATGAGGCCAAGAGAAGTTTAAGTGACTTGCCTATGGTCCCACAGTTACTTAGTGGCACAACTAGGGTGAGAACCTATGCTTCCTAACTTCAAGTCTTGTTCTTGTCACTATACCATTTTGGAGAAAAGAGTACAGCAAAGTTTAGGAAAACAACTATGCCTACTTTGGGAACTCCTTCTAATTCTATAGCTTGAAGTAGCAGAATTCTTTAGACCATCTGTCGCTTCTCCCTTCTGTGGTATTTTTATGACACTCTTTACCTCAGTCTTCTCAGTTTCCTTTGTAGCCTGTGGATTCACAGCTTAGTTGAGGGATAGACACTACAACAGAGTAAGATCAGTGGTGATGGAATCTTTGACTACTGAAATGTTGAGACGTTCAGTAATAAGTTTGGTAGGATTCCCTTCTGCAGCACCATCCCTATAATGTGACCAAAACAAGAAAACACAACCAGAGATGCAATCCGCAGAAGTAACCACTGCTATAACACAGAAACCATGAAGAGGCTTGTTGAGCTTGGTGAGAACTTGCAGTGAAGGGTAGTGGTAGAGTCTTTGTGGAACATCACCATTTTTACCATTCCTCAAGTCTCGTTCCTGTTTCAGGTTGTGGAGCTCATGACTGGGGGAGCGCAAGTCCCAGTCACCAACTCAAATAAAACCTTCTACCTAAATTTGTTGGCACAATATAGACTGGCCAGTCAAGTTAAAGATGAAGTGGAACATTTTTTGAAAGGTAAACTTTTGTCTGCTCTTTTTGGTTTGATAGCTATAGCACCCTTAACATCATTGTAGATTTGACTTGAGTTTGGCTACTCTGTTTCAGGCCTGAATGAATTAGTTCCTGAAAACCTTTTGGCTATTTTCGATGAGAATGAACTTGAGGTAAGTGCTTGAATCCTGAGGCCCTGCTTTGATTCATGGCACCTAGCATGTAATACCTGGCACATAGTAAAAGTTCAGTAAATGTTTGTTGAATTAATTAATGTGTATATTTATAAGCAATTATTTTATTGGGTGTCTGATATGGAATAGAATGGGAAAGCCCTTTATAGAGGGATCATCTTTACTTTTGCCACAACCTTTTCTGATTGAACACTTTTTAAAGTCTTTCTTGCTTCATTAGTAATGGAGACCCTAAAAATGGCCAGTCACATTTAACGAGTAATTATGTTGGATGAGTAGATGGTGCAAATGACTTGGCATCTGCACTGTTAAGGGGGTGTTAACTTGGGTGCAATTACAGATACATCAAGGTACTTAGGAGCCGTATGAAAGGCTTATTTTATGGTGTCCAGGGTTTTCCAAAAAACCTCAGGAACTTTGAAACTTCAGTAACTTAAGTTGTAGGTCTGATGACATCAGCCTGTAAGCAGCATTTAAAAGCAGCCTTAATGACATTTGGGACAACATCATCACACAGTTGTACACAATGTATTCTTATTTCAGATCCTGTGACAGACACAAAATGGCTACTGTAGACAAGATTGCAAACTGTCCCCTTGATGAACAGAATTGAAGTCTATACTATCTGTGAGAAGAACATTCAGTTTGTCACTTACAGATGATTTCTTTCATACCTACAACCCAAGTGAAGTTCATAACTGAAAATTTTAGATTTTTAAAAAATGGCCTGGATTTTTTATAGACACTCTGCATCCTGCAAAGTGGGAATGCCGCTTTGAGGCAGTGGGGAGGGGAGGGTTACAGATCAGGGCCTTGGCAGCCTTGTGTTTGTTTGTACTTGTTAGCAGAATTTTCTTAGATCGTGGTGATGTGGTGCCTTTTGGGTGGTCTCTATGGCATTTGTGTATTATCAGGTATCTTGAACCCTTAGATATAGAATCTAAGTGAAATTGACACTAATTGCCTGAAGTTTCTTATTTTAGGGTTGAAGAGCTCTCACCTTGTGCTTTTACTATTATCATATTTATGCAGTTGGGCAGAAGGAACGGAAAAGTTCTTTAATGATTTTAAATTCCCGTTAGTTGGTTAGTTCTACAGACTTTGTGTGTGTGGTAGGAAGAGGTTATTTAATAGGTTTAGTTGGCTCTGGTGTTTGTATGGCACATGAATACCATATCTTCATTTTAGGTTACTATGTACTGAATATCTTTCAGATTTTGAACCAAGCAAGAACATCTGAAATTATTAATGTGTTAATGTTTTTATTATCCCTGGGATAGTGTAGTTCTCCATTTATATGATTGAAAGAGGGGAAGTTAAGGGCTAAAAGAGAATTAAAGTTTAATTTTAAAATGGCTGCAGGCAGGAAAGAAGGAAGGCATATCAGAAACATTCGGGATTGGTTTGAGTGCTTGAGACAGGAGCACTTCCTTGCTTCGTTTAGTGCTCATGACCTGCTCTACAAGGCCCACAGGAAGGCATAAATACCTGCTTTTGATTCCTTGTCCACTCTTGTTATTTCTCTTCACAGAAGTGACTAGCAATTACCATTTTGCCCCTAAGACCTTTGATGATAGGGTTATGATCTTGCCTTTCTTCTCCTAAAATTTTCACTTACCTTAGTCTTTTGAGATATCATCTCTTTATTCAAGATTTTTGCATGTTGGCCTAGGAAATGGGTGGCATTTTATATTTTAATCTTTGATAGTGTCGTTGGTTGGATAGTTACTTCAATAAAATATAGGGAAGAATCATCTAAGAAAGCCCAATAGAAATTACTCCATTTGGTTATAGCACTGAGTTGGTGAGTATGCTCCTATTAATCTTTGCCAATCTCCTTCTAGCTGCTGATGTGTGGTACTGGTGACATCAATGTCTCTGACTTCAAGGCACATGCTGTGGTGGTGGGAGGCTCATGGCATTTCAGGGAAAAGGTAAATAGAAAAAACTTTTAAAATGGAAAAAAATTAAATATTTTTAAAAAATTAATTCATTTTGATTTATCAACCATCACTTCCATAAATTTTTGAGTTTTAAATTTTTCCTTCCCTCCCCACCTCTCTTCCTAAGATGGCATGCAATCTGATATAGGTTATACATATACATTCCTATTAAACATATTTTCACATTAGTGATGTTGTAAGAATTAGAACCAATAGGAGGAACCACCAGAAAGAGGAAACAAAGCACAACAGAAGAAAAAAACAGCAAATAGTATGCTTCGAGGATATTTTGTTTTTATGTCATCTTTATTTCCAAACCTATCTCCACCCCACCCTGAGCCAATCTTTGTAATTAAAAAAATTTTTTAATAGGAGAAAAAATAGCTGTTCAGCAAAACTAAGCAAATCATCAGCTAAGTTTTGACAGTATAAGCAGTGTTTCTCATCCATAGTCCTCTAACTCTGGAATGAAAGGTGGGGAATACATTTTTTTCCTCTCTTCTTTGGAGCCAAGCTTGATCATTATGATTACATGATGATTAGTTTTGTTGAAGTTTTTGTTGTTATTGTTGAGAAAGAAATTTTATCATTAGCTACTCTTTCTTAAATGAACAAAGGTAAAAATTATACTCCATCATATCAGGCATCCCACCTTGCCATTTGGGAAACAGATTTTAAAGTGGAAACAAATTGGAGAATTCAGAGTATGAGACTGTGAAGAAGGTTAAAGGGGACCAGAGAAGTAAACACGTTTAATGGAAAGGAATGAAAAGTGGAGGTAAGGAGATCGAAATGTTAAAGGAGCAGAATCCTTAAGGGCTTTCCTAGTATGTGCATCAGGAAAATCAGAAAGTATGCAGCAGGAAATACAAACAATCAGCCAGCTAATAAATATTCATAGAAAAGGTTAATTATAGCATTGGTTGACCTTGCACTTTTGAAAGAGCAACTCTCAATTAGGGTTATGTAACTCCTGAATATCCTGGACATCAGGCTGATCCTCTTTGGGATAAGTTCCTTTTTCTTGATTTTTCTGACCCTGTGCTATTCTGGCCAGGTAATGAGGTGGTTTTGGACTGTGGTCTCCAGCCTCACACAGGAAGAATTGGCGAGATTGCTTCAGTTCACAACTGGCTCCTCTCAGTTGCCACCCGGAGGCTTTGCCGCCCTCTGTCCCTCATTCCAGATCATTGCAGCTCCAACCCATAGCACGTTACCCACTGCACACACATGGTAAGTGTTTGACCACAAATAGCATCCTTTTGGAGGAGTTCTTTCCACCCTTTATCCTATATGACCAGTCATTAGTAATATGATTTAATTGATTTTCTTCTTGCCTTCCAGTTTCAACCAGTTGTGCCTCCCTACATATGACTCATACGAAGATGTGCACAAAATGCTGCAACTGGCCATCAGTGAGGGCTGCGAGGGCTTTGGCATGCTCTGATCTACTCTTCTACTGTCCATCTGACCCCTGGGTTCTCCAGAGCGCCCTGGGTGCACAGTTTCCTTTCAGTCAGAGCATAGACATAACCTTCAGCCCTCAGGGCAGACATAACAGTCAGCCAGAAGATGTTGCATGCTCCCCTGTTTCTGGAGTATTTTGCCACCTATAGGCCTTGTCTCTAAATCCCATATTGTTTCCTTCTCCTCACCATAGGCCACTTCGGTATGGTACATAAATATTGGAAGTTTTTGGCATGTTATCCATCTAAGAGAAGAGGAATTCCATTTGGTCCTCAGGGAGCAGAAGATCTTTGTAGTTGGGACTTTGCATCTTGTAGAAGGCTGTGTACCAAGGGCTCTGAGCTCCATTGGACATCTGGCTCTCTAGAAGCCTTAATATCTGCCCATGCCTTGCTCCAGGCCCCTCTGCTAATGCTCCTCAATGGAACCCTCTTTTCTCTTCCCTCTGGGATCTGACACAGCCTCAAGACCTTCTCTGTGGAAAGGATGATGCCTTTTCTCATCAGGAGCGGAGAGAATCATAGTATCTGCTATAGGAACTGGCCAGTCTGGCTGGTCATTGCTTTGTTTCCCTGCACAAAGCAGGCATACATAGGCCATGGCGTTGTACTACCTCTAATGGGAACTGGCAGCACAAAGGTACCCTTCTCCTGGTGTCACATGACACTGGGTACAGAACTGGAAGAGGAGCTGCTTTTGTAAGCATTTCCAAAAGAGCGCAGAAAGCCCCGGGAGAGTTCTTTTGATGGAATTTTATTTGGTTGTTTTTTTCCCTTCTTGAATTCAGGCCAAGTAAAGAAAGCAGACCGAGTTTAGAATATGTAAGATGATACAGCTACAGCCTCCCGAATTGAACATAATGGACATATCTCGACCTTTAGCTGTAGTAGAATCAAGGGGCATACTGGAGTGCATGGCTGGCTTGGAGGCTACCGACACTGTGCATTGGGTTTCTTTTCCCACAGAGGTTCAGCTGGCTCTGTTCACTTTCCTCCATGTTGAACAGTCTGCTATGTTCTGTGAATCCATCTTTTGCATGGCGCTAGTATCTTGTCCTAAGACCCTGCTAGAGAAAATTTTCTAGCATAGGGATCCTATTTATTATCTGTTTGAATTCTACTGGAGAAATCTTTCTAGCAAAGGATTACTATTCCTGGTAGATATGAATTCCTTTTTTTTTTTCTTCTTCTTCTTCTTAATATTTTCCCCATTCTGGGAGCACTGAGGCAAGGAGAAAGAGATCTAAATTACTGAATTACAGCACACTGCTGACCTGTGGTAAAGCCTTCCTATGTCCTTTCTCTCAGGTTCAGGGTACTGAGAATATGCTTAAAACAGACCTGCTTTAATAGTAAAAGTTGAGCTGTATCAGTGCCTTCCCCTTATCAACTGGGATGGGAGGGGTATGGGCAAGGGAGAAGGGAAAAAAGAAATTATGAGTGCTAGTTTCTGAGAAGCTCTGTGCAGTGTCTTGATTGGTGGAAACTGGCAAATATCTCTTGAAAGATTTTCTTTTTTTTTATTACAAATTTGAATAATAATAATTGTAAGATTAGAAATTTCTCCCACTTGAAAAGTTTCTGTTTTCAAGGATGCTTTGCTGTGACACCCCATTCCCAGTGGAGCATCTACACCAAGAGTACTACAAGCCATCTTTGTTGCCAAAACCAGCACGTACACAAGAGTCCTAAGAAGAGACAGAACTTATGGCAGGGCCTCAGCCTCCTGGAAACCTCCAGGTGGGGATCAGGAGGGACAAGCCCCTTCACCCCTACTCTTTGCCCTCTCCCTGAGCTGTTATAGCTCCTCTGTGGCTTCAGTGTCTTTCAGCTGTCATCTGTTCTTTCTCGACCAGGGTGCTGTCCTCTCCCATCTGCTGGAGCCAGAATCCTGCAGCTGGGGCCTTAGCACTCCTAGATCCTCCATGCCCTATGTTTACTACTCTCCTCAGGGACCCAGACAAGGTGTTGCTTCTTGCCTTAATCCTCTTCCAGTAGGATGTAGGAAGGCAGATACAATCACCACCCTGGAAAACAGGAACAACCCTTCATCTCTTAGGCTCAGATAGAGGTTTTCAGCTTTGGGCATGTGGACTGCCTCTGTGGTTTTCCTGTGGTGGACCCTCTTCTGGATCCCCTAATCACCATTCCAGTGGCCATCCAGGGACCTTACTGCTGGGAATTAAGGTTATCTCCTTGGCTAGAAGTCTGTCCTGTAAAGCTTTTGTTTCGCTACCCATTTAGGGGGACTTGGGTCCCATAATAGCTTTCTAAGGTCAACCCCATACCAGTAGTGGATCCTCAGTGTCTTTGGTTAATGAAACCCCTTTGGTACTTACTATCTATTGTTTGTTTGTTTTTTTCCAGCCTCCAGTTTACCCTGCTCCTTCATTCAGTCCAAAAAGGCTCTTGGCCCTCTCTGATCTTCCCATCCTGCCCTTGGCACTTACCAGTGGGGGAAGACGATACAGAACATTGAGGGAAAGACTATTAATTTTTTGACAGTTCTTGATATGTATTTTTTTGATCGGCACTTTTATTTATTCCCTTGTGACTGAGGTGCTTTGGGGTTAACTGAGTTCACAACAAAGAAAAAGGCTGCATGTTTCAGGAACTTGAGGCAAGGGCCAGTCCCTGCTATAGATTAGTCAGGCTGGGTAGGGTTTGATCCATGTGGACAATTGCAGCTGATGGTGTAAATAATTTGTACAATAAATAAAAGTTTAAAAGAAAAGAGTAAAGAATATGTGTGTTGTTTAAAATAGAAACTTAGGGTTTCCTTAAGCAGTATTAAAAATCTCTTAGAAGTTTTAAAAACAAATGTTAGAAATTATTTTTACATGTAACTGGGGAAAAATAAAATACTAAATAAATGAAAAAAAAATTTAGCTAAAAAAAAATCTTTTAGAGAAGCTCAAATCATCTGGACTGGCAGTGGAGAAAGTAGCTATGTGAGACGGTCCAAAGAGGCACTATGTCATGGGAACCAAACGGAGAGTCTTGAGTGGAGGAGTCAGAGGACTCATATACCTAGAGCTGGAAGGACATTAGAGGTCATTTGCTCTAACCTCATTTTCCAGATGAGAATACTTAAGACCCAAAGAGGAAGGAAGGGTTCAAATCCAGGTCCTGCCTCCAAATTCACAGCATCACATTGGGGTGAGCCTTTATGGAGAAAGCATCCACATTACAGAAGAAATAAGATAGGAATTATTTTTCCTAAACTGATTAACGCACATTCTTCCTTTATACATTTGAGAGCTAATGTCCTTAGTATGTAGCAGAAGGCAGAGGCACACAAGAAAGACAACGTCTTGTTCATACTTCCTTTCTGACTAGGGGAGAGAACGTCGTTGAGCCAATTTGTTAGAAGCCATCGATATAGAAAGAGGGAGGTTGGACTAGGGGGAGGAAAACCAATGGTTGATTTCACCGTTGGGCATGTAACTCATTGGTGTGCAGGTCTAAGGGAGGGCCTTCACAGGAGTGCGCGTGTTTAGTTGTAGGGATGGAAATGCTTCTGGCTCTTGCATATCCTTTCATATTAGGGCTGTTTATGTCAAGTAGTGAATGATGTAAACAGCAGGTAGTTAGATTGTAGCCAGTAGTTGCTGAGTATTTTTTTTTTTGCATCAGCACAAGAGTTAACACATTAATTTCTCCACATTTATAAATAAAGTAATAAATTGAAGGGGTAGAACTCAGGTGCTTGCTGGAGAAGGGGAAGGAAAAGAAGGAAATAAGCAGTTCCATAGTGCCTGTTCTGTGCCAGTCACTGTGCTGAGCACTTTGTATAAATATTATCTCATTTGATCCTCACAATTACCCTGCAAGTAGGTGCTATTATTTTCTTTTTCCATTTTACGGTTGACACTGAGGCAAACAAGTTAAGTGACTTACCAAGGGCCACACAGCTAGTAAGGGTCAGAGGCCATATTTGAACTTGGGTCCTCCTGACTCCAGTTGTCTGAGCATTCTGTCCATTGCACCACCAGATATTGGTGTAAGCCACTGAAATTTCTTAACATTTTTTACTTGGCCTTGTGCCTGACTCTGAAGGAACCCATTCCATTCTTCTTCCTGAGTGCTTTGAGTTTGGCCAAAAAAAAAGTAGTTTTTGTTAAAGCAGTGCCAGTTTGTTAACACAAAGATATGTTTTGTAAATAGAAGAAGCAGAGTCCTTTGACCTAAGTTGCAGATGACCTTAACAGAGGGGGAAAAGGAGGCATCCTGTTTTTCTTCAGGTGAGTGATTAATAATGATGGTATTTTACTCTTTCTCCTTTGGCTGTGTCCCTGTGTGACTTGAAAGGCTTTTTAAGAATCTTAAATGTTTTATTGAAAACTTAATTGTGAACTTCAGTATAACCATCTAAACTTGTTTATCAGATATTTATAGTTCATTTCAAGGAATAAAATATCTTTTTTTCTGTGCCTGTTACTACTTAGTAATCTTCCTCTTCACTTCAATACATCATGCCATATTTTCTTTTTTAAAAATTTTTTCTTCATTATTATGGATTTGGCATCAACAAACACGAACATTTCTCTACATAAAGAAGAAAAAAAGAGGATCATATTGACACTTATATATAGCTTATTTGTTTAAATTAAATTTAACATGGTAGTTTCTAACACTTTCTTGCCTGTCTGTCCCCTTCTGAACTTGCTTCTGCTCTCTTCTGTGTATTTAAATTTTTTTCATCAATAATCTTTTCTTAATTTTCTTTTGTTTTTTTTTTTATCAATTCTCTATACCCCACTGCCCCATGAACCCCTCTGAGCCTTTTCAGACCCTGAAAAAAGGAGTTCTCACTTAACAAATGAGTGAAAGAGCAAAGCAAATCTGTGTATCAGCTATGTCTGAAGTTTTATATCTCATTCTGAACCACTAGTTCAAAACTTTTCTACTAGGAGGAGAGAATTATGATTAATCATCAATTTTCTGGAGTTGGGATTGGTCATTGCATTTATCATAGTTCTTAAGTCTTTCATGGGGCAACTAAGTGGTTCAGTGGATAGAGTATTGGGCTTGGAGTCAGATGACCTGAGTTCCAGTCCAGCCTCAGACACTTACTAGTTATGTGACCCTGGGCAAGTCACTTAACCTTGTTTGCCTCCGTTTCCTCATTTGTAAAATGAGCTGGAAAAGAAAAGCAAACCACTCCAGTATCTTTGCCAAGAAAATCCCAAATGGGGTCACGAAGAGTCAGATACAACTGAAATGACTGAACAACCTAAGTCTTTCATGATTTTTCTTTACAGTATTATAATTATTGTGTAAATTGTTCTATTGGCTCTACTTCACTCTATCAATTTATACAAGTCCTCCAAGGTTTCCCTGAATCTGTCCCTTTCATAATTTCTTATGGTATAATATTTCATTATATTACCTTACCGTTTGTTCAGTCATTCCAAAATTGATTGGCACCCACTTTGTTTCTAACTTTTCATTGTAACAAAAAGTCCCGATATAAATACTTTTGTGCATATGGGTCCTTTTCATTCTTTCTTTGATCTCTTTGAGGTATAAGCTTAGTTATGTTATGTTTTTTGTTCTTTGTTTTGAGGACCAATAACATCATGGGGTGATGTCTTGACTTGCGTGTGCATTGGATTTAAGTGAGACAGAGTTACTCGAAGTCATTTGCCTCACTTTCCATGAGTCATCAAAGTCCAGTGACAGGGCAAAAATCAAGGTGACTGGTGGTGGTCTGTGATGCAGTGGATCACCTTAGCATTTTTAATGACTTACCAAGCTCTTCGCACTCCACAGTGCCTGCTTCAGCCACCTTCACGGCTGTTGGAACAAATTGTTCTCATCTGCCCATTCTACCAGGGGAAGTCTTCACATGCTTGGAGTAGACATTCTCCTGAGGTTTCTAAGGAATAGAGGAGTAAGCACCTTCTAGGTTTGGGGGGTGGCTTGTACAAAAGTGTAGAGAGTGGAAACAGAACTACCAGTTTGAGGAACAGCAGACTAATTTGGCTAGAACATAGAATACACGTAGTATATGAAGAAAGTTTAGAAAGGTAGATTTGGAACCAAGATGTGATGGGCTTTAAATGTGAAGCTAAGGAGTGTATAGTATTTTGTCTTGCTGTGCTTAGTAATGACATCCCTGAATCAAAGGGCACGCACAGCTAATGACTTTGGGGATATGTGGTATCAAATCACTTTAGAGTTGGAACAATTCACGGTTCCACCAGCAATGTATTCATGTATCTGCCCTGCAGCAGCTCCTCTAATAATTGTCACTGCACTTTTTTGTCACCTTTGCCAATATGATAAGTGTGAGATAGCACCTCAGAATTGTTTTAATTTGCATTTCTTTTAGTAGTGATTTGGAGAATTTTTTCAGTGTGGTAGTTGAAAGCTTACTTTAGAGAACTCACTAGTCATATCCTTTGACCACTTATCTCTTGTGGAATGGCTCTTGTTCTTATATATTTGAAACAGTTTACACTTTATCTTGAATATTGGACCTTTATCAAAGAAATTTTTTGCAAAGATTTTTCCAGTTAACTATTTCCCCATTGATATTAATTGAATTGAATCTGTACAAAATCTTTTCAATTTCATATGCTCAAAATTGTCTGTTTTACCTCTTGTCATGCTTTCTATCACTTGTTAGGTCAAGAATTATCCCCCATATATTATAAAATCTCCTTTCCTGCTCCTCTAATTAATTTTATGTGTGATGCTGTCTATCTTGGTCATATATCTATTTCGAGCCTGTTTTGGTATATTGTCTGAGATGTTGGTCTTAACCTGATTTCTGCCAGATTGCTTTCTAGTCTGAAATTGTTACATTTATTGAACACTATGCTACTATTTAATTCCTTCTGTGACTTTTGTACATAATTTATTCCATTGATCCTTTCTGTTTTTTAACTAAGAACAGTTTTGATAGTTGTTCGGGATATGGTACTGCTAGGCTCCCTTCTCATTAAAAAAATTATATTTCTCTGGAGATTCTTTTCTTCTTCCAGGTGAATTATGTCATTACTATTTTTAGCTTTATAACATATTACTTTGATAATTTGATTGGTATTACACTGAATCTGTAAATTAATTTGGATAGTATTGTCATTTTTATTATGCTGTCACAACCTAACAGTGTTATTTAGATCTCTCTTTGGAGGGTATTTTGTAGTTGTAGTTATGAGTGCTTTGTATATTGGTAGCTGGACTGCCGATATTTTACACATTTTGTAGTTATTTTGGAAGGAATTCCTTTTTTTTTTTTAATCTTTTCCTTCTAGGTTTTGTTGATAATATACAGAAAGACTGATGGTTTTTGTAGGTTTCTTTTGTATCTAGCTACTTTGCTGAAGTTATTGTTTCGTTTAATTTGGAGTTAAATCTTTAGGGCTGTGTAAGTAAAACATCCTGTCGTGTGCAAAAGGAAATAATTTTGTTTTTCTCTTTGCCTATGATTATTCCTTCCATTTCTTTTTTCTTGTAGTATTACTACAGCTAGCATTTCTCTAACTATAATCAAATAATAGTGCTAACAATGTTACTCTTTCCTTATTGGAAAGACCTGTGCTGTTTCTCCATTATTGATAATAAGATAATTTTAACATTTGGTGTTAGAAAGATACTATTTACCATATTAATGGAAGGTCCATTTATTCCTGTGCTTTTTAGTGTTTTTAACATAAACATTGTTGCATTTTGTAAAAAGCTTTTTCTGCACCCCTTGATGTAATCATGGTTATTATTAATTTTTTTTGTTAATATAGTCTGTTATAGTTTTCCTAATATTGAACCAGTCCTGCCTTCCTGA